CACACTCACCCCCACACCCCCACAAACACTTAAGGGCTTATATAACATCTGGAGGCCGGCTGATCGGAACAGGTTTTCTCAGCTCAGGTGATTGCAAAAATAGAAAGCGTGCATTCCACAACTCCGGGAGCCACATTTGGTGCGAGGAGGTGATCCTGTCCGGAGATCAAGTTTTGGCACCTGAAGTGGCCTCCGGCTTTCCTCCACCTGAGGCAGGAAGGAAGGCCAGCTTTGATGGGGACGAAGCCTCCCATGGACTCCCAACGTGCCCTGCTCAACGAGGGAGAGGACGATGAGATGGTAAGGGCAGGGAGGGTCCCCCCCAAGGCTGCCCCCCCAAGGCTGCCCCCCTGGCTTCTGCTAGCCTGACGCTGCCCCCCCCCCCACAGCCCACTGGATCCCCTTGAGAATAGCAGCTCAAGGTCAGGGGCCTTTGTTAAGGGACGCGTGGGCACCCCCCCTCCCACCCCCACAGCAGGAAGGCTGGCAGGTCTCTTTGTCGGGGGGGGGGTGGCGATGGGGATGGGGGGGGAGAAGTTGGCATCATCCAGGCCTGGCCTCCTTTCCACCCAAGCAACTCCCATCCTCTGGGCCTCTTCCCTTCATTTCACTGCTTCAGGCTGCTCAGCGTTGGGGCAAATCCTTCAAAAATCCCCCCCCCTCAAAAAATCCCCATTTGCTGCCGATCAGCTACACCAAGGCTCTTTGGGGTTCTTGAAAACGCCTTCCTGCCCCCTTGCAGCTGCCGGAAGCAACTTTTGGGGGGGAGATTCTGCCCTTGGGGTGGTCCACGCCTGAGTCCATGGGGGGATGGTGGCTTTGCTGCAGCTGGAGGTGACTTCCCACCGCACAAGTCCTGCCTCTTCTAGGTCGGTGACAGGGAGAGCATCATTTGGATGGAAAAGAGGCTCATTCTGGGGCCCCTGCGTACGAAGGTCCCGGCAGGTCGATTGGAGCGGGGGAAGAAAACCTCAGCAGCTCAGGGATGAACGAGAGGGGGGCTTCCCTGGACAGGACTGTTCTCTTGCAGACGTTTTCTGACCCTTCTAGGTAGCATCATCAGGGCTAGAAGGGAGTGAGATTTGCAGAGAGGAAGAGGAAGAGGACTTGGGGGTCCTTGGTGCTCTCTGAGCTGGATGGTTTTCTTGCAGACGTTTCATGACCCAACCAGATAACATCATCAATGCTAGACAGAAGAGGGGTTTACAGGGAGCTTCTCATTTGCTTCGTAACCCTTCAGAGGCCCTGGAAAAAAAGACCCCCAGCCCAGTTCCCCCCACCCCTGACCCGGGGGTCACGCGATCACGGGGTGGGCGCTTGGCAGCCGGTGTCTCTTTGCGACGGCTGCCGCTTCGGGGCTCCCTGCGTCCTGCACCCTTTGCAAACCTTCCTGGGCAGCTTCTGTCAAGCCAAGTCTATCCAGGGGAAGCTGGATTCACTTAACGACCTTGGGGTACACTTCACACCAGCAGGGGGTGGCTTAACAAGCATGGCAAAAAAAAGGTTGCAAAATCCGGTGTGACTCACCTAACGACTGCTGTGCTTAGCAATGGAAATTCCGATCCCAGTTGTGGTCATAGGTTGAGGACGACCTGTTGCTTCAGTCATTTGCCCCGTCAGAATCGGTGGGAGGCTCCTGGCTGGTTCCTGGGTTGTTTGAGTTGGTAATTCCTGGATTAGGTCATTATGTTTATCGCTTGATTGTTTGCCAGATGTTAATTCCTGCTAATCTGGGAGTTGCCAACCCAGACACACAATTTAAGCACTAAGGAACAGTCTCAACAAGGAAGCGCCAACCAACAATTTTTCCCTGCCAGCTTAGCGTCACCCGCAAACCTGACGCGTTCCCCTTCTATTCCCTCATCTGAGTCATTGATGAAGATGTGGAAGAGTCGATGAGCTCGGTTTGCCAGCCAGTTGCGAGTCCGCCTGGTGGTGATGCTGTTTCTATCCCACATTTTTCTATTTTTCTTTTCGGGCCGTCTTGCTAAGCTTAGAACAGAGTTTCCGTCGGCTGGTTTGGATTGGCCAGGCTCTACGGCTACAGGAATTGGGTCGTGTGAATCAAGTTGTTGGTTCTCTGTTGCGCTTTGTATTTAAAAACGGATAAAATCTCCTTTGCTGAATAAGCCCATCTGGCATCAGGACAGTGTGTCTGTCAGGATATGCACCCTACCTTTACTCCTCGAGTAAGCCTTTGGCAGTTCCCGCAATTCCGTGCCCTCTGGGAAGGACTGGCTCGCTTCTCTCTGCAGCCCAGGTGATCTCTGCCCCTCCTCCTTCAACCAGGGGCTGCTCACCAGCTCTCCCCTCCCCCCAGCCCCCACCCTGAGGATTTTGATCTGTGTTGCACAAAAACTCGTCTCTTGTTGTTGCGGAAGAACTCCACTTTTGCATGATGTCCCAGGGCAGAAAGGAAGCGGTCTGACTCTTGTCACACGCCTTAGAACGGAGCTCCTGAGCATAGGGAGAGTGCAAAGCGTAGCAGCAGGGCCTCGGCGAGCAGGAGGCCTTCAGGGGAAACCTTCCTGTCCGTTGTGGTGAGGGCGGCTGGGGAGGCTGCCAGGCCAAGAGCCCAGTGGAAAGTTTTCCCATTTCGCTTTGCCTGGAGGGTCCCCTGCAATCTCCCTTTTGGCCCCGAGCTCCGTGGCCCTTAATGACAGGCCGGCCGCTGCCCTTCCTCTGGAGGTCCTGCCCTGGCTGGAATGCGACTGGACGGGTCCCGAGCGCCTGGCCTCCCAAGCCCATCACAAGGCTGCGCTGGCCCCCTTGAGTGGAGGCCTTGAACCCGCCCGGTCCCCCCGGGAGGGAGAGGAGACGGGGGTCGGCAAGGGGGATGGACAGGAAGCCAGTTTACAGTCTTTCTTGCCATGGTCGTTAAGTGAATCTGGCTTCCCCATTGCTTGTTGGAAGGCCGCAAAAGGGGATCATGTGACCCCGGGACACGGCCACCGTCCTAACTAGGAGCCAGTTGTCGAGGGTCTGAATTTTGATCACAGGATCACAGGGAGGCTGCTGCAGTCGTAAGTGTGAAAACTGGTCATAAGTCCCTTTCTTCAGAGCTGTTGCTAAATGAACGGTTGTAAGTCGAGGACTGTCTGTATTCTGCCCACCGGGATCACAGCCCAGAGGCAGCCACGATCCAGGAAATCCTGGTTGCTCCAACACTGGAGGCTCTTAAGAAGAGGCTGGACAGCCACGTGTCTGAAATGGTATAGACGGGGGTTGGACTAGAAGACCTCCAAGGTCCCTTTTCCAGATTCTATTCTATTCTCTATTCTATTCTCTGTTCTATTCCATTCTATTCCTTATTTTCAATTCCATTTTCTATTCTATTCTCTATTCTATTTTATTTATTCTCTATTCAGTTCCATTCTATCCCATATTTTCTTTTCCCTCCCCAGTTTGAGGCAAGCCACGCCCACCAAACCATTTGAATCCCACCACTGGTTCAGGGGCTTTGCCAGCTTGGAGGTCTTGGCTGCTTTTGCTCCTCCAAGCCTCACTCAGAACGCAGCCCCCTGCCTGGGAGGGGAGGATGTGGGCCGCCCCAGAAATACAGGTGGGAGAAGCCGATCTTGGCTTCCTTCAGAACCGGGGTCACCAACTGTGGCCCCTTGAAGACAGGCGGACTTCAGCCCCCAGAATCCCCCAGTCAGCACATGTTTTAGGAGCTGCTTTCCTGTGGCCCTTTGTGCATCCTGGGTCTGCAGCACAGGCACAGTGCCAATATTTGAGGAGGGGCTGCCCCAGAGAGGAGGAGGAAGGGGGTCAGGCTATTCTCCAAGGCACCTGAAGGCCAGACCAGGAATAATGGATGGAAACTGGACAAGGAGAGATTCGACCTGGAAATAAGGAGAAACTTTCTGACAGTGAGAACAATTAATTAATGGAACAGAAGTTGCCTTCAGAAGTTGTGGGAGCTTCATCCCTGGAGGCTTTCAAGAAGAGACTGGACTCCCATCTGTCAGAAATGGTGTGGGGTCTCCTGTTTGGGTGGGTGGGGATTGGACTAGATGATCTCCCAGGTCCCTTCCAACTCTGATCGTCTGTAAGTCACCAAGGGCTAGAATCTCTAGGCTGGCGTCTATTGGCTCTTCTTAGTTTAGCCAGGGCTGACGTGGTTTCTTTGCCTTCTTCAGTTGATTGAAGCTGTTCTTAAATATGCTTTTCCCCAGAAATGTTTGACAGCCTACAATCCTGTTTGTAAAAGATTCCGCTCCCTTAAAAGAAACCTTTCCTTCCTCCTCCTTTGCCTCGCTGCCATCCCTCCCACCGCGACTCTCAAATATTCCCCTTCCCTGCGGTTTTTGTCCGCTTTCTGGAAAGAGCCCCTGGTCCTCCTGTCTTGTGAGCCACTTGCTGCTAAAACTCTCGCTTGTCCGTCTGTCGTCTTCAGCCGAGCAAAATGGCGCCGGACAGGGCGGCCACTTCTGAACCAAAGTCCTTCCAGTGGGCTAATTTTCAGAAGGTGCCCAAAATTCGGGGCTTCTTATTTCCTTGGGACTGAAATTTGGGGAAGGTTGTGGCTCTTCAGTGCCGCTGTGTCCCTGCCCTACCCCAGTCAGCTCTGGCCATGGGCTGCCACTTCCACGCTCGCTGACAGCTTCCCACCAGCAAAATCCGCGTGGAAACTGGCAGGAGTCGCAAAGCCCCGAAGCCCCCAGGTGAGGGAGCGGCTGCTGCTGGGTTGAAGGGACGGAGAGCAAGGAGGCCCACGAGCCCCAATGAGCGCTGGGAAGGGCGTGCAAGAGGCAGGGCGAGAGTACGAGGTGGGGTGAGGGGGTCCCTGAAGAAGGAGGTGAGGGTCACAGGAGGCTCATGAGGGGGCTGCCCAGGGAGTGTGAGGATGGGGGCCAGGGAGGGAAAAAGGACGGAGGAGGGCAACTAGGGCGACGAAGGGCCTGGAGACTAAAGGATACCAAGAAGAAGAAGAAGGAGGAGGGTTGCAGGAACCGCGTATGCCTAGTTTGATGAAAAGAAGGGCCGGGGGTGACGTGATAGCACCTTCCAGTGTTTGAGGGGCTGCCCCAGAGAGGAGGAGGGGGTCCCCCTGTTCCCCAAAGTATCAGAAGGCAGGAAAAGAAGCAACGGGTGGAAACTGATCAAGGAGAGAAGCAGCCGGGAATTTAGGAGGGATCTCCTGACAGGGAGGAGCCTTCATCAGTGGAACGGATTAGCACGAGCTATGCCAGACGCAACAGCTGCCCAAGAGAAATCCACATCCGCTTCTCTAGGAGATGTCTGAGAGATTTAATTTTGAAAATGTCTAGGGAGGAAACGATATCGTATAAAGGCAGAGAAATTACGATTTTAAAACAAATTCCAAAGAAAGTGAGGACGATAAGACAAGATTATAAATTTCTAGCTAATGATTTAAATAAAAAAGGAATCCAATTTAAATGGCTAATCCCGGAAGGGATGTTAATTACGTGGAAAGAGAGGAAAATCAAAACAGAATCGATAGAACAGGCCCAAGACTTTTATCAATGGCTCACGGATACGGATGGTCAATCCACTAAAGAAGAACCTAAAAGGAGACCACAGGAGGACCGATATCGTCACAGAACCCAACAGGAGCGACTTTCTCCAATTTCAGGAAGTGATAAACCACAACCTGGGAGAGAAGAGCAAATCCCACAACAACAACAAGAAGAGAATCGAATCATCACTAGGCAAAAATCTAAGCAGACGTAGATAAATGGTGGAGAGGAAGAAGTTGCTCTCCATCAATATAAACGGATTAAATTCAATATCAAAAAGAAAAAGGATATTTTCATCAGTGGAACGGCTTTGCCTTCAGAAGTTGTGGGCGCTTCATCAACCCCGGAGGCCTTGAAGAAGAGGCCGAGCAGCCTCTGCTCTGGGACGGGACAGGGCCTCCTGCTTGAGCATGGGGCTGGACTAGAAGACCTCCGAGGCCCCTTCCAGCTCTAGTCTGATTGAGTGCGTGAGTGAGGCTGCTCAGGAGTGTGCAAATGAAAGTGCACAGACGTTACTAGAGCAACTTGTCTGTCCCCCCCTCCCCGCCAGTTTCCCCATGGACTTTCCGTCTGCCAACTTCTCCCAAGGAAACTCCACGGGGAAACTTCCCTTTCCTGCTTCCGCTGCCCGTGGCCGTCCCGTCGATCCGTTTCAGTAAGGAAATGAGGACCCAACGGGTCAGGGGTCATCAAGCTTCCCTCTGCTTCTCAACTGGCTTGATTGAGATCCGGTTGTGGCCTGGTGGGGAAAGTCTTGTGGCCGGAGGCTCTCGGGTCCTGCCTTTCCTGCCACCATAAAAGTTGGGCTCAAAGCCCATCCCGCCTCTTAGCTTCATGGAGGACCATGTGCTCTTAAGTGGGAGCCCTGATCTCGTCCACAGTCCCCTGGTTTAGGGAGCCTCCTCCTCCCCCTCTTCCTGGCTCCCCTGAGATGCTGAAGTGGGGAGTTTGGGTTCCTTGGAGCCTCTGGGGCTGGCAGAGGAACCCTCTCCACCCATCCGGGGCTCCAGGGCATCCTGCGTTTCTCCCTCCCGATTACCCATCGGTGGCCCTGTGCCCTTCCTTGACCTGGTGCCAATTTGTCCTCATGTCTGTGGAGATTGTCCATCCTCCAAGATCAGGGTTGTCCCAAAGGTACTTTCCCCTCCCAAAGAAAACTGGACTTTCCTGGGGGTTTTCCTTCTGGAGGCGGCCCCTACCCCACAAACCCACCTCAAATATGCAGCGAAAGCCACCTGAGAGCCACGGTGGCGCAGTGGTTACATTGCAGTATTGCAGGTGAATTCTGTTGACTGCCTGCAGTTCGAATCTCACCCCGACTCAAGGTTGACTCAGCCTTTCCTCTTTCTGAGGTCGATAAAACGAGGACCCAGATGGTTGGGGGCAAAAGGCTGACTCTGTAAACTGCCCAGAGAGGACTGGCCAGCCGTGTGGAGCAGCATTTAAGGGCTATTGCTATTCTGAAGAAGCTGAACTGAAGAAGCTTCTTGGATGAGAAGCGAAATATCTTCAAGGAAAAACAAAGTCTAGCTGCCTTTTGAAAAAGCACATTTGGGAGTTGCTGTGCTGATAACTTTCCGGGATGCAGAAATCCAAAACTAACCAACCAGGCAGGATTTGCACAAAGCGCTAAACCTCTAATTCTGGTCTGCGACCGTAATGAAAGACCGATCGATTGATTAAGCCCCATAAAAGCCTAACCTGAAGTTTGCGGTTTCACTCACCTGGCCGAGCCGGTTGGGTGGCCGTATCCATTGCTAGCTTGGTCTCCTCTTCCTCTCCCAGGTTCCCGGAGTGAATTAAGCTGCTGAGTGCTATCTGAGTTCAGACTCACGGTCGGTTGGCTAATAACAGTCACCCAAAGGAATCTCAGCTTGTCCTTGGCAATCGTTGTTAGCCAATACCGTGGCCAGCGCACCCCAGATGCCAATCGGAGCAGTTTCACCTGGGATTCGGCTCAGGCAGGAAAGAGGCGGCTCCAGGGTCATGTACTGGACACCCGCAAAGGCCAGAAGAGCTTCATATTGTCCACCTTGAACCGCTGGTGATGCAGAGATTTCAGGGGGCCCTGGGAACAAGCCAGGGGCCACTAGCCCGGATTGTGCCGGTGGAGCGGGGAGCTGTGGTAATCCCAGCCTTGACCTTGGGTAGACATAATGGCAGAACAATAGAGGTGGAAAGTAGGACACCGGTAGGGCACCCCAAGGGAAAGAATTTGGTTTCTGAGGACAACCCGTCCAACAATCTTGCACCTGAAGATGACAAAATTAGGAAACAGGTGCGTCTAATAGAATAACAAAATAACAGAGTTGGAGTCACATTCTCCGACCGTGGACCCCTCTGGCTTCCTCATGCAATGCTGGATTAATCTTAACCCTAGTTAAGATTAGGTTTGGTGCTGACGTGTATTGTACGAATCCAGTCCAATGGCCGGTTTTAAGTGAATTCTGTGATTTCTACATGAAAATTCTCCCCATTTTTGCAGAGTGTCCGTAAAGTTTCCTGTTTCAGAATCAAATCCCAAATCCACGCAGTATGCAAGACTCAGTGGCCTCGCAGACATATTTTATGTTGTTGGGAAATCGATTTGTTGATTATACAGGTAGTTGTGTCAAGCACAAACAACCAGGTCCACACATGGAGGCCCAATTAAATTTGATTATTGCTAAAAGCTTTGCACAGGAATCTATTCCTATTTCTATTCTATTTTCTATTCTATTCTATTCTATTCTATTCTATTCTATTCTATTCTATTCTATTCTATTCTATTCTATATTCTATTCTATATTCTATTCTATTCTATTCTAAATTTATGGTCACTGCTGGTGAGAGACAGATAGGAGTCCCTGGAATTCAAGGGAGGTTGGACTTCACTTGCTTGTGGCTACGTAGGGATTCTAGGCCGATTCCCCCTTTCCCTCCACCCCCAGGTCCCGCCGTCTCTCCTGCTGCTTGGTGGCTGCTTTGAGAATCGCCACAGGACGGGTTTCCGGGAGGGTTGAGCCTTGGCGCGGACTGAGGGGGAAGGGCTCCCTTCACGGCAAAGTCTTTCTTCCCAGGAGGTCTTTGGCTACAAGACCGGGGGCTTCCGGAGGGCCCTGTGCCTGGCTGCCTACGTCCTGTCCTGCGGAGGCCTCCTGCTTCTCTTCCACTGGAAGC